TTGATCCCATTGGCATTGCAAATGGAGGGAAACCTGTTGATAAATTTGTAGGATTCTGACATTGCTGAGACAAATGCGTTTGTCCCGATGTGGAACTGCTTTCCGAATGAAAGGTGGTAGAGGGAATGAGGGTTTGAGCTGATGTATTCAAGCAAAAACCCGTACTGGTCCCAGGTAAGGTTGGTAGGGGGGTGTTGGCCTTTGTAATGTTGGTGGTAACTTGGGTGCCAAAGGGACTGGAGTAATTAATGGGGGGAGCGTTAATTGGCAACATAGGTGGAATTGTGTTGGTCTCGATAGCAGGGGTGTCAATAATTTCAGAGTGGGTTGCAGTGTAAATGGGCTCAGGGGGGATATTGGTGTTGATTACCGAGGGGGAAGTGGTGCTGATGGTCTCAGGGGGGGTGTTGGTTTCTGGGGGGGACATGGTGTTAATGGTATCCGTGTCCTCAGGGGGGGTGTTGGTGTTGATATCCGGGGGGGTGTTGGTGTTGATGGTCTCAGGGGGGTGTTGGTGTTGATTTCCGGGGGGAGACATGGTGTTGATGGTCTCAGTGTTCTCAGGGGTGTGTTGGGGTTGATTTCCGGGGGGAGACATGGTGTTGATGGTCTCAGTGTTCTCAGGGGGGTGTTGGTGTTGATTTCCTGGGGGAGACATGGTGTTGATGGTCTCAGTGTTCTCAGGGGGGTGTTGGTGTTGATTTCCGGGGGAGACATGGTGTTGATGGTCTCAGTGTCCTCAGGGGGGATGTTGGTGTTGATCTCCGGGGGGGATACGGTGTTGATGTTCTCAGGGGGGGTGTTGGTTTCAGAGGGGAGAGTGGCAGTTTCAATGTGTAATGATTTAACAAATTCTTGTTGCTCATGCAAAAACAAGCTTATCTTTCTGATGCAATTGTAAACTGCTCTGATAATAGCATCGACTTCTTCTTGAATTAGGTTAACTTGCTCTTGTGTTTCAATCGAGCCAAGTTTTGCCATGTTATCACATATTATGTTCAAAATTGACTGTAGATCATTCTTATCTAGTTGTAAAGCTGCCATATTCACATTTTCCAGTTTGAAACTCTCATCAACGACTGTGATTAGTTCATGAATTCTACAAATGTCATTCTTTAGGGCAACTTTGACAGGCCCAGCACTTTGTTGTCTAGCTTTTTGTTCGATTGTTGTCTTTACACTAACAAATACACTCCTAGCTTCTTCATAGCACCTTTTTACATTGTCTCTGTAAGTCATAATGTCTTCACCATTAACTACACGGTGTTCAGCGTATTTTTCGTCAGATACAATAAGTTCGTATTCCTCATTTATAACGCAAAAATCATCAAATACCTTTTCAAGTTCGAACATTGAATCCTTTAAAATATCATATTCACAATCTCTGTTGTAGGCTCCGATCAGACGCCTCGCAGCGACAGTGACCGCCATTTTAGCCTTGCTTCTTTCTTGTTTTTTATCTTCAACATTCATGGCTGATTCCTGGATTTGTCTTCAAGCAATACACAAGTTTTGGGCTGCAAAACTCCTTTGTATTTAGGCTTCTTCACAATTCTGGAATGCCACAGCGAACGTAAGTGTTTTACTGTACTGGGATTGCCAGTAAATGAGGCGAAAAACAGGTTTCAACTCACTTTAATTATAAAATATACGGAAAATTACAAAATAGTAATTAGTGGTAAAACACTGTTTTCCTTCGCACGCCATATTAGCTCTTATGCGCATGCTCTAACAAAACGTAAAAAACATCGTTCAAAAGGCGATCGCAGAGATTATTGTCTACAACTTTACTACAACCCAATACAGATCAATCATTTTAACTTTTTCAAGGGGAAGTGCAAAACGATCTCAGGGGACCCATCAAAATCCAGCCATGCATCATGGGCGTCTATTAGATCATTTACGGTGGATGCAATTTCATCTGTGCGTTATTTCAACGTGCAGTCCGAGTCGGAAATAGCTTCATGGCGTCTCAATACTTTACTATCATAAATGATTTTACCTTACAAGCTTTCCTCACGTATGGTGCATTGTCTTTCTCCAAGTCATGATGAGATCTGATTGGATTCTTCAGCTCGTGATCTATCACCATTCCAGGACCCTAAAAACCCATACTTCGTTAAAATATTCTGTACAAACATTCTGTACCGAATCGTGTACAACATTTACCTTAGCAAGAACTAGGAATGTTCGGTACACCGATATACCGAAAATATCGGTATTGAAACCAATATCGGTTTATCGGTACGAGTTTTTCAATCATACTGATATGCCAAAATTTACGATATATTGGAATTTTTCAGTATAAATAACCGTATCAAATTTACACACCTGCATATGGCAAAATCATCAATTTTTGTTTTACTCAAATGCAAACATTTCGTGTTGCATTTGTCAACAGCTTCAAAATTACCATTGGGGCTTTTCAGTGACCGATTACATCAAGTATTAGGCTCATGTTACTTATACTTAGCCCAGAGTATTTATCTTTATAACAATGGACCTTTAACCTTATAACTAAAATTTTAATCTAGACAAAAATTTCATCACAGCTTGAAAGAACATCACAAATTTAGTAACATTCCAAAGTTTCGTTACGAAATGTTGTAAAATGCGGATAATATACAGCCCTGCGAAGTTTGCCGTTTTTCAGTCATTTTGTGTAACGCACGGGAAATTGACAGCCCAATCGGGTGTTGGGGTATCAATTTCCCGTTTGTAATACAAAATTACTGAAAATTGCAAATTTCGCAGGGTTATATTATCCGCATTTTACAACATTTCGCAACGAAACTTCGGAATATTACTAATTTTGTGATGCTCTTTCAAGCTGTGATGAAATTTTTGTCTAGATCAAAATTTTAGTTATAAGGTTAAAGTCCATTGAGATGTTATTAATTACTTTCCTAAGTACTGAATGTTTATCCTAACCCACTCTATCAACTTTCCCTGATGACTTTCTGCAGAGCGTCGACTGACTCTTTTCACACGAGTCCGTAGCGAGTGTCGAACCCACGATCTCAGAGGTGAAAGGCTCTTCCTCTGATCATGGATAATAAAATAAATGGATAGGAAACTAGCTGACGTGACCTAATGTTTTCAATGGGCTGATGGCGTGATTGGATGTTGAAACCTAGTTACAAACCAAATTCTCAAAAACGGCATGTTTAGCAATAATACAGCTAAACATTTTAGTCAAAGAGAAAATAAATATAACCACGCCATTCTACGATGAAAACTCTAAGTATTCCCAGTCAATTTTGGCAAATATTTCAAGCACTAAACAGTGAAAATTTCGCTAAAATTTGTGACGCCAATTTCGTAGCTACAAATGTAAAAAAAAATACAAAACAAAGACGAAAAACATTTACCTTGAATACTTTGTCGTGGACTTAGGCATGTTTTTAAAACAATTAGACCAGTTTATGCTTCAATATCACCCTTTTAAAGTGGAAAATATAGCAGAACAACAAAAATGCCGAGAACTTTGGTAACATTCGCAATACGCGTGACGTCACGTTTTTCAACAAGGATGAGGTCAATGTCGTCAGAAGTTTCCTATCCAGTTATTTTACAATCCATGCTTTGACACCTGCGCCACCGACGCCCCGTGATGACGATAATTTAGTGAGGAGTTATACAAAATGTAATGTACATGTAGCGTTAATGAAATGTGAAATGGTGTTGGGGAATGTGATGCAATGCTATAGACTGTACTGTAAAACAATGTGGAGTAACGTACTGTCAGTGGACATTCTTACCTGAGTACAAGAACCCCCAATGAAGGTCATAATTCTGGCTCCGGTATTTGGGTACGTACACTGAAATTATAACACCAACAATATTATCATTTAATGAAATTATACAGTTTTTAATAATGCTCGATTCAATAATAGACCCATTGGTCATCTAACCAAATAAGCGAACCTATTAAACAAGCATTTAAAGTAAAACCGTTTAAATGTCTTCTATAATATATAGTTTTTGCAGATCTTTTATTTATGTAATTTATATTTGCCATACGAAACTAGAAAATTCATTATTTTTTGAGATATATAATACAATAGCTGAATAAGCAAATTATACAGAAAATATATTTTTCAGCCGTCAGAGTTTAGTTTTAAGATTCCCCCATATCTAAATTTCAAAACACATTTCGACAGACTGGTAAGGCGAGACTTTTTTATTCATTGGTTTACGGATCCGCCGACCGTAAATATTCAGAAAGTGAAAAATAAAAAAAAAATTGGATGTCATGATTAATTTGGGGTTCTGACATGAAGTACACTTCAAGTGAACTTCGACTCTAGGTACTGCTGGCTCACGTTATCGTTGTGACAATCAATATGTAGATTAGCCACGTTTTTTGCGTTTTTTTTTCTTAAATTGACGTTAAAAAATTTTATAAAGATTATTATGAATTTCGGTTCTCATTTATACTCAGTTCGTTTTTTTAAAATTTTTTTTCCGACCTACCGACCTCTTATTTTTAAAGTCAAATCCGTAAACCAATAAATAAAAAAGTCTCGCCAAACTATAAGGTCGCGTTTACACTAGGACGCTATACGGCAAATTTACCAGTAGCGTCGTAATTTGCATCCGGAGTGCCAAACGTGTAGTGATCTGTAGTTACGGTCAAACCGGATGTTCTATTGCAAGCAACATTGCAATATATTGCAATTTTGATAGGGAGATTGCTCTGAGCAATTTGCAAGCGATACGAACAAATTGCAACTTGAAATTCACAAAAGATTTGTGAACAAAGCCTGTGATTGGACTATAAGAAAAAGGGAAGCACCAATCCAGTTGCTCAGACTATTTGATTGGCTTCCTTTTTACTAATAGTCCAATCAGAAGGCTTTGTTTACAAATCTTTTGTGAATTTCAACTTGCAATTTGTTCTCGCCGCTTGCATATTGCTCAGAGCAACCTGCATACCAAAATTGCAATATTGTGGGACAACATTGCAATGTTGCTTGCATGAGAACATCTGGTTTGACTGTAATACGCTACGGCAAACCACACCGTTCTAGTGTAAACACAATACTAAGAAACGTAGTGGATTTGTATTCAGAGTGGCAACTGTAGTGGTTCGTTGTTAGTACGCTGCGGCAAACCAATAATATTTAACCAATAAAACACACAATATTGTCTCAATACTAGAAACGCAGTAAATTTTTGATGGAGTGTTAACCGTAGCGTCATAGTGTAAACGCGGCATAAGTTAAGTTAATTTAAACTGATTCTGTATTTATTCTACCTACCTCAAGCAGCCCAACAGCAATTGACATGGCAACACCAGTTGATCTTAATGGTCGGTTTCCAGTACTCACTGGCCATGGATCTCGCTGTAGTTCACCCAGCAAATCTGTCAGACTCATGTCACATTTATGCACTGGTTGCAAAAATCTAGAAAATTAAGTGGAATAACAATGAGAGTTGAGCTTGTCCCTTTTGGAAGTTTTGATATGTATTGTGTAAGTACTAGATAAAACATGAGCAGCCGATCTGTATCTGATAGCCTATACAAACTCTATCAGGGTTCTCGTCCTCGATAGTTGTGAGCGGGACAGATAAAACAGGTTTTTAAACAGGTTTAAGCGTCATGTCGTACCTACAAACTTCTAGGGGGTCCGAGGCATACCACCGGAAAATTGTGAGTCTCTGAAATGGCATTGCCTGCATTTCGAAACTTTTATAGAATACTAAAGATTTTTACAATGAACTTGTGGTTCGAGCTCGACAACTGGACTCTGTAGCTCAGTTGGTCAAGGCCCGTTTCCATTTTCAAGAAAACTTTTCACGGACAGGAAATTTTCCGAAAATATCAAAAGTTGAAGATTCTTCCAAGTAGGTTCGATTCCTGCCAGAGGACGTAGAGTTTCATTTTTCGCAGCTGTTCCTGGTCAAGTCTAATAAATGTACACACCTTATTATAGGACATTAACGATGCAGTTTATTAACCAGACATAAATTAATGCGACATCAAATTAAAACATGATTATATTAACGCGATCTGATCTCCATGGTTAACAAATTAATTCAATTAACGCGAATCGGAAAATATAGACACAACAACAACAACAAAGGTTTAATGTTAAGAGGAGCACTGATGTTTTTAGTTTACGTTAATATGCTGTATTTTGATATTAAAAGAGTTAGAATAAGTGTTATATAAAACAAATCTAGGTAATTTTAAGTAACGATAAATGAAAATTACATACTTAACATTAACGATCACATAAATTAACATTAATTAAATTAACGCGAATTTTTAAAATCCGCGTTAATAAAGTGCATATAAAATTTGCACTCAGTAATTTACATCTACACGTATACCATACCCTTCAACTATTATTCAATCGAGTGAGACTCTTTATATTCTAAACACACCATTTACACAAACACCATTTTACAACAAGAAGCCTTATTAAATAAACATTTATGGTTATTTAACTACTCATTCCCCCGCAAAAAAATGTTCTTAATCGATCGGGCTTATAGGACATTTCTGCATCCAATTTGAATCGATACTAACACATTATTAGTGTGGAATTTCAGCAATACCTGATTGATTATAGGATTTTTGCACAACTAATTATTTCTTAACAATGTACACAAACTCTAGGCTTCTCCAGGCGGTAATCAGTAGTCGTGGAAATGGTAAATTTTATCGTTTACCACCTGATAAGTAAAACCCTGAAGATTGAGAAAATTGCTAATTAAAAATAACTACAATATACATCTGATCACGTTGTTTATGTGTAGAAAAGGATGCATACAAACATGTACTGTACCAACCTGTTAAAAATATCATTGCCTTGTGATGGTATCTGCCCACGAGCACCAGCTTGAGCATTGGGTTGGCGAGCACCAGCACCTAACCCAAGCATTTGCTAAACAGATAAAATATGGTAAGAGAATAAACTACAAATGAACGAGCTTTTTCAAATCTGTTTCAAACATTTTTATCACTGAGGTTCTGTTAAGACCATGCATTACTTGAAATGCTACAAACTTAATGTACTTCATGACCGCCCGCCCCAGCTTAAATGTTGTGAATAACACCCAAACAGCTTTTGGTAATTTAACATGACTCAAACTAAACATTTAGTTAGAAAAGTGGACTAATTTCGGGTTTTGTCCGGTAATTGAAATTAGAACACTTTTTTACTTAGTTTTGTAAAAATCTGTAACAAACTGATCTGGTGGAAAACAATACGACCTAAAATCCACCAATCAGTTTAGAGCAATCCTCAAGTAACAGCCACAGATTGCTTCAAAACAAAATAAATATGGCGGCCGCGCTATACATAAAGTACGAGTTGAGCTCGAGTGGAAAATATGGCATAACTTATACAGTTGAGTGAAATTTTAAAGCCGTTAGCGTTGTATAATTTGATATTACTGTAACAAAGGCAGGAAAACTTTGTCAATGGAAGATTCGCTATTAACGTAAGTTGGACATGGGTGGATTTACTGGGGAGGGGGGGTTAACCCACCCCCCCCTAGAATCTCTCTAATCCCTCTAATAAAGTGTCCAACCCCACCAAAATTTCGCTTCACCTCTCCTATTTTGTGTGAAAGGCTTTAAACCAAACGCCTACCGAAGCTCACCGAGTGGTACTGCTTGCAACCCACCAGAGATATTTCTACCCCTCCTTTTAAACAAATGAAAATCCGCCCTTGAAGTTGCAACCACAATTGTCTCGAACATTTTAATGTACAGTACATTAGTACTGTAATACGTATGTAATACGATGGTTTCTCGTGAAATTTGGATAAAACAAGCATCATATAAACAGGACCTAAGTTCCCTACCCTCTACCTACCACAGTAGCAGTTAACTATTCTCAGTGGTAAAGAGCAGCGCTATAACCACGCGTAGACACCTGCATATCGCAGAAATCCAATCCCAATCTAACCTGTATCTGTTTTGAGTTCAAGTCCTTGGTTCCTCGGAAAACATAACTCTTTGAGCAACCTTCACATCCCAATTCATGAACTTGAACCTGAAATACAATTATCATCAATTGAAAAATATAATCAGAGAAATTGATCAGTAAATTCTGAACACAGCTCTTATGTCAAAAACACTGATCACTAAATTTGTTTACGGAAACCAAGCATGAAACACGTAGATTTTAAAGTTCTATTCCAACTTTCTTTCTTTTCCTATTGAGGCATATTTCACACTTATTGACTAAATTCATAATTTATGAATTATAAATTAATTGTTCGTTTTATCATTGTTGTACCGTGCATGTATATTTGTACTTTTTAAACGGTTTAAACATTATATTTGCTGTGTTGGTGTAATGTACTCAGGTGAATAAGATGCTTGTGTGATGTTACTCTGAGTATATATCCACACCGGGCAGGCTTGAAAAATATGCCTGGCCACGGTGGGATTCGAACCTACGACCTTTGGAATACTAGCCCAATGCTCTGCCAACTGAGCTACGCGGTCTGGTCGTTTCGAGTAAGTGATATTTCGGAACGGTACCCCGACATTTTGCAGAAAGACAATTTGCCGAAAGACACTTTGCCGAAAGACATTTTGCCGAACGGACATTTTGCCGACGGTCATTTTGCCGAACGGACGTTTTGCCGAACGGATATTTTGCCGAACGGACAGTTTGCCGAAAGGACAACTTGCCGAAAATAAAGATGTTATTTCGTCAAAATGTTTGGGACTGTGACTCATTTCTCAACCATTGTGTAAAATAACCATTATATGGTCATTAGCAGTGCATAATGGTCATTAGCAGTGCATAATGGTCATTAGCAGAGCATGACGGTTGTTAGCAGTGCATAACCATATTGACTATTGGTAGCTTGTTTGTGCAGCGGATGACTCATTTGTTAGGAACGTGTCTTGACGTCAGATCGTAAACAAACAAGCGTATATAAAGATGACGTGAGCAAATTTCACTTCGAGAATCATGGAATACATTCACAGTTCTCGGGGAAATCACATTTCATGAATGATGTTAGCCTGCGAACAGGCTCACTGGGAGAAAGGTGAGCCTGCACGGAACCATGCGTTTTATTCAGTCATCCCCTTTTCGCATCTGCTAAACGCGAACCAATCAGCGTCGACTGCGATAAATAAACTGTCAACTGTCAAATTGACGCAAGGCGTGTACATTGTGCAACGAAGAAATACTGAATATTAAAATGTATACATAATGTTATATGAACAATAATACAAAGCATTAGCGGGCCGCACAATATATTACTCGGAAAAATATAGAATTCTTCAAATATTAAATAGATATCAATACACATACAAATATAAAGCCGAATAAAATTCTACCATTGGCATTGAATGTACAGTAATACTTGTACTATGTGCGACTGAAAGAACAATGTTCTGAATATTTGAAGCTATTACTAAAATACGGTCAGATAGATTGGGATTTGGAATACCGAATACGTCTAAAATTTTACTAACTGTGGTCTAAATAAATGATAGATGAGCATGTATTTATTAATTTCTTCGAAATCACGAGTGTGCCAATAGTGGAAGCCATATCGACGACGAAATTGTCAGCAGTTTATACAGTAAATAGTACAACGTTTAATGTATGATATATATTTATCTAAATGACATGCCAGCGAGGATCAACCGAATATAATTATTCGTACATATTTGGGTATCTTTTGTATGCCTTCGCTTGCTGACTTGCTCACTAATGAGAATAATCCGTGAAGCCACGACGACCTCAAAATGTACTATACTATAGTCTGATGTCAATCCGAAGACGAAGTTCAGAATGCTGTTATAGTTTCGTATATTGGATTTAAGCGATAGATTCAAGTCATTTATGATAGACTTTTTGCTGTGATGCTTTGCTATTGCTTTTGGTTTCCATTTCTAGTTTTATTTGTTCGATAGTCTTATAATATATAATATTAAAATGAATAAAGTTCAAATTCTTCAAAATGCTGTTGTTGACATTTGCTATTTTTAGTAATTTTGTCAACGAGTGTAAGCCAATCAGAAGCCTGCGTTTCTATACGAACGCCACTACCAAGATAAACCTATAGTTGGCAGAGCATTGGGCTAGTATTCCAAAGGTCGTAGGTTCGAATCCCACCGTGGCCTGGCATATTTTTCAAGCCTGCCCGGTGTGGGTTTAAACATTGACAAATTATTGTAAATAATTCTAATTTTGACGCAGGACCCCATTGAAAAACACGTACTGTACAGCACGTGATGTGGGTATCCTGAATAAATATAATAATTATTATATTATTATTTTACTGGATCCAAGGGATAACTAATTTTTATGCAACTCTTCCTTACCATCTTGCCATAAGTGATCAATCCAACCAAGGCATTTGGTGGCATCAAACTCAATGACATTTGCAGAGATTCCTGAAAAAGTTAGATTCCAGAATAGCAACAAAGTTAGTTGGGATAATGTAACAGTGTGTAAAACTACATGCAGTGTATACAGCTAATTCAATTAAGGTTGTCATTTCAAATTGTAAGTGGTTAGTGGTTTCTAACTAGTGGTGCTGGTGGTGGTGGGGGCCAAAACTGAACCTAACAAATAATTTCACAGTACAGTGTAGTTATGTATTTATTCTTGCATGTTTTATATAGTGCAAAGGCCTGTAAAATCAGTATTTACGTTGTCCAGTTTGTAGTCCGTAATATGTCGTGTTTTAGTGTTAGATGGATGGACTTACGCCCGTATTCTAAAAGGTCACTCACACTCGGTCATTCGCACTCAATGAGTGGAGGTTCAATCTGAGCTTCTCTTGAGTGTCAATGCTCTTTTTGAATAGCTGGAGGGTGAGTAGTCACATAGTAAGGTATGACACTAACCCTCCAGCTATTCAAAAACAGCCATGACACGCGAGAGAAGCTCATATTGAACTTCCACTCATTGAGTGTGAGCGTGAGTGAGCTTTTAGAATACGGGCGTTAGTATGGGATTCTAGTTCTGTTGTCCAATCCTTCAATCATAGCTGTATGTGTATTTTTTTATATAATATGATTGTAAAGTTAATAAAAAAATATCAAAACCCTCGCCCTCTAAGCGCGAAAAGCATGATGGATTTGCATACAATATGCAATTCATACTTCCGACACTCCGTAGTTACGGTTGCTAAGTCCCAAAGGTGTTTTGCTTAAATTGCGTAAAAAGGCGATTTATAATTAACGAATTCCTGTGATTTTCACCTACTGTATTTCGGATTTTATTCGCCCGTCTAACCCAATTCAGTAGCAAACCCGACAGAATTCATGGGATTTTTGAACTTTTCAACGTTGAAGAATGTTATTTATGAGTATGCTCAACTCCTTTGGAATTAAATTCACTTGATCGATTTGCATAAATATTAGAAATATACTTTATTAGCAAAATATAGTACTAACATGCATGCATACAGTAAGTAATCTCATAATAACAAACACGTCCATTGTGCATTTGCGCTTAGAGGTCGACTGGTCGAAGGACCTTCAGAGACAACCTTATTGTCGATTTCAACTTATACTTTTCACTAAAATGTTCTGAACTTCGCAAATTCGTTGCAAAGTTCAAAAGTTCATAATGAAGTCATAAGTCGGTTTGTAAACTGGGCATTTGATTGTCTGGTTTGATTTACAGTGGTAGCCAAGAGGCTTTGTTTACAAACCTACTTGTGAATTTTATTAAAATTGACAAGTAGGCTTGTAAACAAAGCCTCTTGGCTACTACTGTAAATCAAACCAGACAATCAAATGCCCAGTTTACAAACCGACTCGTGACTTCATTATGAACTTTTGAACTTTGCAACGAATTTGCGAAGTTCGGAACATTTTAGTGAAAAGTAAGATGAAATAGAGAATTATTGAATTAGCGGTAAACTGTAAGAAGTGTTTAAAGGGGCAATGTCACCGATTTTTGGGCAATTCCAACTCTTGCAAATTTTGCCCAAAACTGAAAAAGAATGAGTGTAAGCACAAAATAAAGCAATAACAGACACAAAAAACATGTACAGAAGTCTGGATGGGCAAGATTACGCCAGGATTGAGATGGATTGTAAATGGCATCTTGATTAATTGTTGGCAGACACTTTTTCAAGTTTTAGTCAATTTTTATGAAAATGTCATATTACATGTTTCGTGGAAGTTCAAAGTTGTTTAATATGACTTATATATCATAACTTAATCCATTTACAATGTTTATTTTTAACTTTGTAGTTCAGTTTTTGAATAAACGGTATTTTAGGTCAAAAATCGGTGACATTGCCCCTTTAACACCATGTAACAGTGCAACACATCACATATACCTTCACAGCCTGTAGATCTTCTTCGTCCATACAAGTGTCAACAACAAGTAAAAATATCAATGGTCCTGGATTGCCACGCTATCAAAATACAAAATCAATATTACCACCATGCACTGGTGCTGAGCTGAATATCAATTACGCTGGTGCTGAGGTGAAAATCATTTTAGTTGTGAATTATCCGTAATAATAAGCAGAGTTACTGTAATCAAAAGTTCTAGTATCCCATCTGAGAATCTAGTATCCCACTTCTGCATATTGGTTACCATAAATTTTGGCCTCTCATTGTCATAAATTACAATAACAACGGAGACTCAACAGTCAACAACTAGACCATGCACCAAGCTGGAAATCAAAGGCTGGTGGTTATTTTCAAGACGCCAGTGGACTCATAGTGTTCAAAGCCAGTCGGGATATACTGTTACAAGCCTTGTCCTTGAAATAAAAATTATTTTCGGTGCGCCGGATAAAATTTCCGGACATTATGTTCTAGTTATATATGAATGCCGATCTTCAAGATTTTTCGAATATTACACGGATCAAATCGTTCCTTGGCGATCGCACTATTCCTGGAACCAGAGATCAGGTGCCTTTTGTCTTTGTCGTTTGACAGTAAACATTTATTAGTATTTCATCATTTTTAAACTACTTTTTATAAAACCGTTGAATTTCATGGGTTAGGCACCTTGTGACAGCGCCGCACTGTGCGTAGTAATCAGTAATGGCCTATGTTATGTAGAATGCTTAATCAATATATGACGTGACGAGTGGCATAAATGGGCAACATATACATTTTATCACAGCATAATGTGTGTGGCAATAAATTTTATGTGGCAATAAAAATCTTCCGCCGGACAAAATGTCCCACAGATCGAAAGTTTTGCCGGACAAAATCGATTTTTGACTTTTTTAGCCGGACACAAATGTCCGACGTCCGGCGCTATTTCAAGGCTTGTGTTTTAGTATCCTGCGATTGGAATACTGCAATTTTCACACCCTGTGTGGTTCTGGTTTCATATCCCGAACAAATTAGAGTAGGGTCTGAAAACTTTTTTTAAAATCTTTTTGCTTGCACAACATTGATCAACAATGCACGACATTGATCAGCAATGTTCATCATCAGTGATTAGTTAGCACTGTCACAACACAAATAAAGCATTTCCAAAAATAATAAGTGTTAAAACGGACACCACATTTATGGTATCATGTTGTATTATAAAGCAAGTAACAAAAAAACAGGGTCAGAAGGTGAAACAACCGCAACCACATCCAAAACATATTAGGGTCGGCAGAAAAGTGTCAGACAGGAAAGTATAAACAAGAAGCACAAGATAGTTTTTGCTAGGCTCTATTGGCATTTGGTAATCTTCTCTTCTGCTATGTTTGTTAATCTATATTGTAGTACTGTAGATAGAGTTTACCTGTAAAGTATACTCAATGGTAGAGAACTGGGGAATAAGTTCAGCGGGTTGATGTTGTTCACTGATACCAGCATACTGTGGAGGAAACTACAGGAAGAATAAACACAGTCAGCATTAGTGTTTGCAGACTTCAAGTGACAGGCTGTAAGAATTGCCATTCTCTGATGCCAAAGCTCTTACTCCCAACCAATCTGTAAACCCTGTCAAACTATTACACCGAAAACAAGGTTGGCATTCGGCAATGCCGACCTACTGTATCAACCTCCCAGGTCGGCAAATTTTTACTGACCTTAATTCAGCCAAAGTAAGAATCTTTTTTGGTGCTGATAGCTGTTAAAAAGTCAGCGATATAGAATTCGATTCACAGTTCCACTAACTAAATACACTTTGGTGTAAGGTTTAAAAATTGTTTAAAAATTCTAGTATGTATAATTAATTTAGGTAAAACTTCAAAAGAAAAGCCGTTGTGTTACTGTAGTTCGTGTTTCCGCGGAAAAAGGCATGCTTTATATTCCAATTTCAATGATTCGCATATGTGATTACTAGTGCTCCAAAAGATGGAAACACATTTTGAAAAATGCCGAGACGTGCCGACCTGGGTCAGATGTAGGTCGGCATTTTTTTGCCGACCTCAATTTTGACGGTTTTTGAGGGCTGGAATCTACTGTTATTACTATATATATATATATATATATATATATATATATATATATATATATATATATATATATATATATATATATATATATATATATATATATATATCAGGGCTCCCAGCACTATCCAAAGGGATACTAGTAACTTGGAACTAAAACAATGGGTGATTCCAGATATACACTAAATTTTGACCAAGGCAAGAAGAATGAAACAACCAACTAAAATGGTTTAGAATATAAAGCAAGGGAAATGAAATCCAAACCACAGCTAGAAAGTGCGTCTTAGAATGAGTAAAACGGCAAAGATTGGTTGCTAAATGTTGTAAAATGAAGAAAATATAGCCCTGTGAAGTTCGCAAATTTTGTACATATTTTGTATTGCGTGTGGTAAAAATAACTACATGTACTTTCGGCTCAAAAATGGTTATTTTTCAGGTGCAAGTATATACAAAATTTGCGAACGTCACAGGGCTATATTTTCCTCATTTTACATCAATTCACAACCAAACTTTGCAATTTTACTCATTTTAAGATGCTATGTCCAGCTATGGTAATAAATTGTGTTCTTCTTGTTTAGATCAAACTTTCGTGAATAGCTAGAGTCATCCATTAGGGCAAAACAAGCTTTCAAGAGCCACTGGAAATGAGTATATGCAACAAAGTTCGCAAGTTCATTTCAAAGTTTGAACTTTGATATTTGTAAACAAATGTAAAAATTTCATTTATAAATTTATTTAAAAATGCATTTTTCGTCTTGGGAGACCACTGGACCAATATTTTACTGCAGTAATACGTGCATAGGGCCTTATGCAGTAATTTCAACTCCAACTACAGTATGAACATTTGTTTACAATCAAAGTTCGAACTTTGAAATGAACTTGCAAACTTTGTTGTGAAGTTCACGCCTAATTTCCAAACTTGACAACATAATAGGCAAGTTTGCAACAAACTTGGGAACAGCATGTTGAAAAGTTACCTGAAATCGACAATAAAGGACTTAAAAAACCTGGCTCCCCTGGACAAAGTTTTATGTTCAATTTCCTCTGATTTTCACAGTAGAAATTAGAAAATAAAGGAATATTGAATAAGAAAAAATCGTCTGAAAGTCATCTTGAACGTCCATGCTGGACCATAAAAACACGTAAAATGGTGGTTAAAACCCGGTCGTTAAAACCTGGCACACATGCCCCACTGCTTCTTGCTAGTGTTAAAACCCGGCTACTAGAAAATCGATGTTTGTTAAAATCCTGTATTTCCTCTGCTAAATCCTGTTAAAACTCCGCTTAGTCCCGGGGTTGGGGGGTTTCGAATGACTAGTGCATAATAGACACAATAAGTAACAGGCTGCAGTTTTCATTCAAGCTTGGAACACTATTTCGACTCCTTTCTTGAATGACAAGCATGTAACCTTCCAGAATTTCCTTGAATATCTTTTAACAAAACCACATTGTGTTTGTCTCTGATATAATTATTGAAAGTAGAAAAAACTCACAGCATTTCTCTGGAAGCAAAAATTGCAGTGCCAAAGTTTTGCTCTGTAGTCCACTTGGCTATAAAATAATAGGAAAAACATCAATAATAAGCACTACAGGCAACTTTGCCAGTAAATCCATAACCCACTATGGCAGACAATAGAGAGCATAAATTAACTTAATTAAGCAACCGTATGGTTTAAGCAGTGCATGCTTGAAATCACGGAGTAAGGCCTAAAAAATATACCTGTGGTTCAGGTTCACGACAGACCCTATTTTTTTCTGACGACCCTATTATTTTTTCAACGCAATTGACCGTGCGACCCAATTTTCTCCAGGTGGTTGCGGGCTGCTGCCAAAATGGTGTCTGTTGTCACACTAATTATTGAAAAAAAAACATAAAAAAAATATTTAAAAAAAAAATTTATTTCCGATCTACCAACCCTAATTTTTTTCGCGATATGAAACCAGAACCACAGCTAGTTTTTTTAGGCCTAATGACTATTCAGTGTAAATCTGTAACCAACTACAACAGGTTGCCATGTTCCGAGCCATTGCACTTAAAACAAAATACATTCATCCCCCAAATAAGCCCGCCATTTTGAATGATTTTGGGGGTGACAGCCTTCCTTAATGCACTGGCTGATAATGCCAAAGGCACCAACAAGGAGTCAAAACTCTGTGTAGTGTATACTGCAATAAAATCAAGAATGGCAATCAATGTGACTGAAATTATCTGCAACAAATTCGATTGTGATTAGACACAAATGGAAGGGTGTTAGACCTTAATAATTAATCCATTAAAGTGCAACACAGGGTCTAAAAGGTAAAAGGCCATTCTAGTTCCAGCAAAAAACTATCGGGCACAATCCTACTCAAGAGGAGATTGTTTAGCATACAGTACAGTACATGAGTAAAGCAATTACAGTAAGCTTACCAGAAAGGATTTAAAATAGCTTTGCAACTGCTTCGGCTACAAACAACAGGATCATAACATAT